TCCTGCTTGAAACTTGGACTATCCAGGTCAAGCTGAAAATCTGGCAACCATAATGTAAATGAGGTCTTCAGATTGAAATAATAAACTAGCTTGCTGAAGTTGTACAGTGTGAAGTGTATATGCAAGCTGTCTTTCATGTACTTGGTACACTGTGTTCCAGAGCTTGTCTTAAAGGATTTGAGCTGAGAGTTGGCAATCCTGTTCTTATTTGTATAATGTTGTCTATCATCTCCAATGTCTTCCTCTGTGAACTGAGAATATTGTAATCTTTCCAAAAGCTTGATAGGTTTTAAAGTAGTCACTGTTTTTTCTAATCAAGAAGTCTACATATGGTAACCAGTTACTATTTTACTCTTTTATATGTTAAGGAAGGAATGTGTAACGGAGGAAGGCAAGTAGTAATCTGTAACCAGTTCTGATTCTCAGTCAAGGGTGTGTTTTATCTTTCCTTTTCACTTGCCCTGTGTCTTCTGGTGGAAGGATGGGGGTATATCTGTCCTGCTCTCTGGGCATCATAGGAAGAGACCTAAAAACCAAGTCTTGGCTGGCCTCATAATGCATTCCGGTAGCTTTCAGAGTTATGTTCCCATGTACAAAAAAACCAAGGCTACCCATAGATAGTCTGTTTTGATCTGCAAGCATGGACTACGTTGCCATTGTAAGTGCACGTAATGTTTTGGGAGAAACGTTGTAAGCTTCCAACAAGTAATTGTGAAGATTGTAAAATATTCTTCAATTGGAGAGCTTTGTAAGCTTTCGTTGTACACTTGTTACCCTCTGCAGTGTTGTCATGCACACTGAAAAAACATGAGAAATACATGCAACTACTGAATTTTTGCTGCAGAACAGCTAATAGTTGAGAGAGAGATTGTTCCATACTTCTACCTACCACTTCTGTCTGCCATAACACTTCCATTCTTTGGCTGCTCAGTTCTGGTTTTGTTTTTATTGTGAGTTAGTGTGTAACTTCAGGGTTTGTACTTCTGTGAAGGTGACAACTTACTGCCACAGAGGAATAAGATAATACTGGTTTTCAGCCTGATAGTTTCATATGTCAGGGGACAAAAATGTGTTGTGTTTTTTGTTTATGAAAGAATGTGACCCTTAACAGGAAGGGACAGACATGGGAAAGAAAATTTAGCCAGGGTAGTCCAGTGCAAATAGACAAAGACTAAAATATTAATGGAAGTAAGTGGAAGGAGATAAACAAGAAAGCTACTCAGTTGGACAGTACCGCTTCTAGAAGCATACTGCCGTGTTCTTGTGTGGAAACACAAAATAATTGCTGTGTTGAGAAAGCATTCGTGTTTAGGACTCTCACCAGCTTCCAGTTTGTACCCTGTTACTTGCTTGTTATTCATCTTTTTTTTCCAGTGAATTTATATGGTAATTCCTATTCTGTGAATAAATCCTTCTAAAAATAAATAGGAGTAAATTTGGATGGTATAGGAGCTGTTGATTATGCAGTCTTTCTCCTGCATAATCCATATAATGTGTCCTGAGTACAGAGGACAGATGGTATTTATTAATGAGCAATAGCTGCAACTTCTTTAGCTTTAAATATTAATGTTAAACATTATGTAAATGTGGTGGGTTGACCCTGGCTGAGGGCCAGGTGTGCACCAGAGCCGCTCTCACTCCCCTCCTTCTCTGGACAGGGGAGAAAAAGTATAACGAAAAGCTTGTGGGTCGAGATAAGGACAGGGAGAGATCACTCACTAATTATCGTCATGAGCAAAACAGACTGAACTTAGAGAGGGAATTCATCTAATTTATTACTAAGCAAAACAGAGTAGAGGAATGAGAAAATGAAATCTTAAAACACCTCCCCCCACCCTTCCTTCAACCTTCGCCCCCCCCCCAGCGGCACAGGGGGACGGGGAGTGGGGGTTACGGTCAGTTCATCACGCGGTGTTTGTGCCGCTTCTTCATCCTCAGGGGGAGGACTCCTCTCATTATTCCCCTGATCCAGCATGGAATCCCTCTCACAGGAGACAGTCCTTCACGACCTTCTCCAAAGTGAGTCCTTCCCATGGGCTACAGTCCTTCATGAACTGCTCCAGCGTGAGTCTCCTCCACGGGGTGCAGACCTTCAGGAGCAAACTGCTCCAGCGTGGGTCCCCCACGGGGTC